ACAAGAAGTTGAAAAGAAGAAAAGTGGCTTATTTCAAATATATCAATAAATTGTTATTATGATTACAAATTACTATATTATTCCAAATTAAGAGCCCTCTGAAATTAAGCACCATTTTTGTTTAGCATCCTAAAATAATCACTTCTCATACTTTATTCTTTACTCTTTGCTTTTAACCCATAGTAGAGTACTCAAATTTATGTAATGTTACGTAATGAAATTAAAGATTGTGCGACTTTATTTGAAGATTAATAAAATTTTTACAAGATAACTCACCAGATGCGTGACTAAGGTGATTTAGCAATAATTACTATTAACAATTTTGTGCAGAAGATTTTAGCATGAGCATTTTTTTTATTAGCTTATTAGTTAAAAACTATAACTAGTTTTTTTTTTTTTTACCAAATGAAAAACATATTTTTATAGTTTTTATATTTAGTACAAGGCAAGAAAGAATTTAACCTATTACTCTTACAGCTCTACTCTAAAGCTTACTGTATTAACCTTAAAGAATAGAGACTTTCTTCTTTTTTTCTTTCACAATGGCTCATGAAATTTCTTCTGTGAGTGCGCTTCGTGTTGCAGTTACTGGATATTCTGTAGATGATCTACTAAGCTCCCTCATGCTACAATCAAAAAGCACAATGTCAATTATTTAGAGAGAGATTATTTAAATGCAGAACCTATAGCATATGCTTGATTTTCTTTTTAGAAAAGTCACTTTTAAGGCTGTTAATTGGTCCGTCCAGTCCGTTCTGGTCTAAGGACTGGCGATCTTTTAAAAAATCAGATTGAATCGCAGTCCAGGGCGGAATGAGGCCGATTAGAATTAGAATTGAATGCATGCATGCTTCTAGGTACGTACGTACGTACTTTATGCATCAATTGTAGTGTTGTTTATTCATGGTTGTGCAACTTGAAACTACTACCGCATAAAAGTTCTCAGTCTCGTGATTTTAAACCAATCACGACACAGGATAAGACATAACGTGAAAACAACAAAAAATTGTCCATACCTCGAGATTTTGCTTATAAAACCACCTTCTACGTCTTAACGAAAAAATTTCCTGCAATATTTTGCTATATGTTGTGTCCTGTCTAGTGATGTGTGACGCAACTGATGAGACCTGACGAAACCATGACGCAACCTGACGAAACCATATGTTGCGTCACTGACGCATGACGCATGACGCAACTCAAACATATGTTTTTAAGGGTCACGTGAGCAGTTGCGTCAGGTCACGTGAGTTGCGTCACACATCACTAGTCCTGTCTAATGTCGTTCTAATGCTTATCCTTATTTACTAGTTCTCTCGATCCATCCTAAAGAGGACCCGATCCTTGGATGAACCGAAGGACCGTCGGTCTGGACCAGATCGATTAACTGCCATAGTCACTTTTAGACCGTGACAATGTTTTAGGGATTTATTATTATTCAGTCCTGAAATAGCATAAGTCTTATCTATAGAAATGACATAATGAATGATATTTTCCTACGTATATTGCATTTATATTTGTTTATATAATTGCATCATATTATAAAATCAAAATATATATTTGAAATCAAACACATTTTCTAACAAAAACGCATGCTTAGATTCAAAACGGTACAGAAATACGAAATCAAAAATAAGAAATAAATAACATTTGTATTTTAAATGATAAATAATTATTATAAATTAATGCAAATAAGAAATAAGTCTCAAATTCTGTTTATAATTAAGGATTCTTTTTCACTTGTCATATATCCTATGGTCATATGGTGTTGCCAGATAAATTGAGACACTAAGCTTTTACTTTTATCAGTAATGTATATAATATGCAATCACATATATGTCATTGGTAAGATTTTTCATGTGCTGAATCCGATAAATATTAATGATAAACATGAAGGCCCGAGGTTTTCTTTGCTCTTGATAGTACTCATGTATCACTCCATTGTAATTCGAAACTCATAATAATAGTTCTATGGACATATGTATAGTAACATTTGCTACATAGGTAGAATTTGTAATATAGCAATATGTAAAGTCTGCTTTATTAATTGTGCCAAATGGCACATACATTTATAAGCAATAAAATAATTACAGCTGAACAAAACTTTTCTATGAGTCTGCAAAGGAAAATGAGACTTCTGGAATTTAAGTTTATAATTTACCGAACTTAGTTCCCAAGAATCTTATAAGTGACATATATACCACTAATACGAACTAAGTCTGATAATTTATAAACTTAAATTTATGAGGTCACATTTTCCCTTGGCAGCACTCATATGGGACGCCAACAGCAAAAGAAAGAGATGGGACTATATATCATATAATCATGTTACCAAAAAAAAGACTATACATGTAATTCAGAGGACTGGGATCGTCACATTTTCCAGCCTTACAGTATTTTAGTTGATTGATCACGAATAAATTGCTCGAGTTTTGCAATAAAGTCCATAGTTTTTTCTTTTCTTTTTGGATTTTTTATTGTTGTGGCACATTTCTTCAAATTGTCTATGTTTGCTTGAAGTTCATTGGCAAAGTTAAAGCGACTACAAATATTTCTAAGTTCTTGGCAACACTGACATATACGTTCGTAAAGGTTTTCTACTTTAGAATCTAGTTCATTCAATTCATTTTCGCAAACATCAGCATTGGATCTGCCATCACGATAATCTTTAGTGGCTTGTTCGTAACGATCTTTACTTATTAGCTCTTCAGCAATATTACTTGCTAGTTCACATTTCAGCTCTTCATCTGACTGAAAATGTCTAGTTATATTGCGATGACATATATTAAAGCTCTTGCTCAATTCAACCAGAAATAAACACATTAAGTTAAAGCTTACCTTTCAGGTCCACAACCGCATTCCTTACAATGTTCACCATCCGCTAAACAGATGCATTTCCGAAGATCATTTGTATCTTGATCTTGATTATTATATTCCAATCCACATTTTGGATGACAAATTATTCCTTCATGCATATGATCAAAACAGTAAGTGTTTTTATAGTCAACCTTAACAAATTTTTTCACATAAATAGCTTCTTTCTCTATATAATAAAGAAAGAATTCTCTTTTATCGGATGCATCCTTTATAATTTTATAATAATCATCCAATTTATCTTGAATTTGTCGTATATTATCAATGTTTTGAGAAAGTTTTTCGATTTCAATTTTTATATTATTTTTCTTAATTCGCATCTCATCGAAAGCATCAGTTTTTATGGAAAGCATTGTTTTGATGGTGTCCAGGAGTTTTTCGATTGATTCACTTGATGCCTCCCATTCACCTTTAATACTGGTCAATATTCTAGGATTTTTTTCCCAAGTTTTAGGATCAGAACAAAATGCGCTATTATTCATATAAAATACTTCCTAGAAAAAAAGAGAAGAATTATAATTCATGTTGTGATCGCACAGAAGCAACTTAAGAGTGTATACCTTTGGTTTAGCAAAAAAAGTATCTGGATTGAGGGTAGCAGTATGTTCTT